TGTTTTTTTTTTTTTCCCTACTGTCTCCTGAGGTCCTCACAGCAGCCTCACTCAGCAGTCTGCAGGTAAAATGGCTTTTCCATTTTAAGCAGGAAAAACTGAGGTTCAGGTGCCAAGTCCACATGTGTAGAAGTCCACACTCCCAATTATTTTTTCACACTTTTCATTACTGCTGGATGGGTTGGTTTGCTCTCCCGCTCAGAGAGCGTCACCCTTGCTCGAGATGAGTGTGTATTTGCTCCGCACTGTCAGCTCAATGTTGGACCCCCGGCAGGGATTACTCAGAAAAACACAATGGGGATGGCAAACACTGCTGAAGGGTAGGGATCATTAAAGGAAACTTTGGAGGAAAAGATTTTTTATAGTGTTATGAAGTTGTATTAATATTCTTGGTGAGTATAAAATATGTGAGAAGTGGCAGGATAAAATGAAAGGACATGTACATCTGAAAGAGGATGCATACATCTCACAAAGAGAAATATATATTTTTTAAGATTTATTCTTTCATACAGAACTGGGGTACAGGCCAGAGGCGCAGGGGCAGTGAGAGGATTGACCAGAGACAGAGTGGGGAGCAGAACAGGCCGTCTGAGGAAGTACACTGTTGAGGGGAGCAGGTCTGCTGTGCCACATGGGTCACCTCCAGGGTGGGGATTGAACTTAAGCCGAAGTGGCTTTAGCTTCTTGGCGCTGTGCTTTAACCCGCTGCGCCACCAGGGAGGACCCAAAGAGAAACATTTTTAAAAGGAATAAGAATGCTCCAGAACAGGAATCATTATAGAAATTTGTGGAGCAACTCCTTTACCAGGAGATGACAGTTTGGATTTCTCCACATATACACTCAATTCAGTTCTGTCCACCAAAGGAGCCATCTGGAGAGGCTCTGTGTTTATTCCATTCATGCTACTTGTTACTTCAGTTATTTCAGGAACTTCTCTTTCATATTTGCCCTCTACAATGCTCACCTTCTTTTAAATATTCTTAATGGTGTTTTAGATAAAGTCAAAATTACTCAGAGCCATGTCTAGTGAAATGGAGGATGCTTAAGACTGGTCATTTATTTCTCTCCCTCCCTTCATCCTTGTCTACCTTCCCTCCCTCTCTCTCCCTCTCAACCCTCTCCCTTCTTAGGAAAGCTAGCTGGTGATGAGTATCTCTCTCCTTCCCTCCATCCTCTCTCCCATGTCTCTGTCTCTTCCTTCTCCCCAACTCCCTCTCTTCAATTTTTTTTTTTATGTTTCATAAACCATCTCTGAAACCTTCCAAGTTATTCAAAGCCATGTAGTATGGTGGTAGTAAGAACATATTCACCAAGTTAATTATGTTGGGTACTTAAATTCTGGTTTATTACTTAAAACACTTTATCTTGTGACTTTGTAATTACATCCCCTGGAAAGAGTGATATAGGACTTTGGTTGGAGTGTTGAGGTTTGTGTAGGTGGCGGGAGACCTGAACTTTATTTTCTAATTAGTGATGGGCTTGAATAAGCAGCCCAGAGATGAGAGGGAGCTGAGAGCCGTGCAGGGGCTGGAGACGATACCACGTGGAGCAGTGTGTTGAATTAGGGATGCTCCACCTTTCCCCACCAGAAGTGTCTTGGAGAGAGTAGCCCAGGGCATGAGAGGGACAGGGGTGTTGAAGCCATGCATGGCACATGATGACTACGTGAAAGAACCAGGCACATCAAACCTGCAGTGGCTTAAGAGAATCAGGGTGGTGTGGGAGGAACTAGAATGTGATTTAAGCTGTTATTTTTGCTCCTAATTAGTTGTGGGACATTGGGCAAATAATTTAACCTCTCTGTGCTGGAATTTATTTATCTCACAAGTTAAAATTAAAAAAAAAAAAAAAA